TGTGCTGAGTAGAAAGTATGTCCTTTGGTGCTTGGGTGGAATATTTGGTAGGTGTCTGTTCAGTCCATTTGATAGGTCTTAAAGTCCTGTAGTATTGTTTTTACAAAGTTGGGTGCACCAGAGTTTGGTGATTATATGTTCATGATTGTAATATCTGCTTGGTCTATTCTTCCTTTGATCAGAATGAAGTGGCCCTCTTTATCTCTTCTGATTAGTTTCAGTTTACAGTCTATTTTGTCAGATATTAGAATTGCAACACCAGCTTTTTCCTTAGTACCATTTTATTGGAATAATTTTTTCCATCCTTTCACCTTAAGATAGCGCCTGTCCTTGAAAGTGAGATGAGTTTTTTGCAGACAACAAAAAGATGGGTTTTGTTTCTTCATCCATTCACCTAGTCTGTGCCTTTTGACTGGGGTTTTCAGTCCATTAATATTTAAAGTTATTCATGAAAGATGTGCATTGAATCCTGTCATTTTTATTTCTGTTTACATTCTTGATATAGCTGTACTTTTCCACAGTTATACCTTCATTGAACTTCTAACCCCTTGGGTATAGTCATTCCTTTCTTCAGCTCTTTGTATTGCTTCCAGAACTCTCTGAAGGGCTGGTTTTGTGGACATGAATTCCTTTAGCCTATTTATGTCACGGAAGATTTTTCTTGCCCCTTTGACTATAATAGACATTTTGGCTGGGTATAGTAATCTGGGTTGGCATCTGTGGTCATTCATTTAAAACTGGGAATACTTTGGTCCAGGCTCTTCTGGCTTTCATAGTTTGCACAGAAAAGTCAGCTGTAATCCTAATGGGTTTCCCTTTATATGTGACTTGTTTCTCCTTTGCAGCTTTCAGTATTGTCTTTTGTATGTTTTGTGTTTTTACTATGATGTGTCGTGGAGAGTTTCTGTTCTGGTCCTGTCTGTTTGGTGTCCTGTATGTTTCTTGTATTTGTGTGGGAATGTCTTTCTTTAATTTTGGGAAATTTTCTTCCATGATTCTTTCAAAGATCTGGTCCATGCCATTATCTTGGGATTCTTCTCCTTCCTGTATGCCTATGATTCATAAGTTCTTCATAGAAGGAATTTGGAAATTCTCCCTCCATTTCTATCTTTTTGAATAAATTAAGTAGTATTAGATGTAGATCCTCTTTAAATGTCTGGTAGAATTTTGCTGTAAATCTATCTGGTCATGGGCTTTTCCTAGTGAGGAGGCTTTGTATTACTGTTTCAATTTTCTTACGTGTTATGGGTATGTTTAAGCTGTTGATCTTTTCTTATTTCTATGTTCAATATTTCTATCTCTTCTGAATTCATTCAGAAGTTTATCCCTATCTTCCTTTAGTTCTTTGATTTCTTTGTGTATTCTTTAAGTTCACTGAATTCTTTTATCTTGTTTATAATTGTTCTTTTGAGTTCAATGTCCTGCATTATCTCTAGGGGGTTCTCATTGTACTCTTCTAGGGGACTATTGGGGATATGTTATTTTGGTTTTTCATGTTATTATTTTTTCTCTGTGATTTTGACGTGTGAATTTCTTTTGTAGTTTCTGATTTTTGTGTGAGACTCAAGCCTTCAAGTTTAGGTCTGCTTCTTTTTGTAAACTCTATGTGTCTTTGTGGTTTACTTTTTGGGCATGAAAGCCTGGTTTCTCTTAAGCTTCCAGTTCTCTCTTTTGATTTTATATTGGAGTGACCAGATTGCTTTTGTCATCAGGAGTTCCCACAGAGGCCCAAGTCAGATGAGGATCAGATGCTCTCAGTCTTTCTCCTAAGGTCTGGATCCCTCCAGGAAAGATTTTGGCTTCATGAATTTGGGAGTTGGACTGGCTTGGGAGCCGGGCCCAGGAAAGATGCTGGTCTAGAGCAGCTGTTGGCTTCGTCACACCCAGAGATGCAAAGGAAGATGGGGGTGGGAAGTGGCCCTAAGGGCTCCAGGGGACTGCACTGAGGAGCTGGGTTGGTCTGGATGCAAAGGATCAGGAAGAGGAAAGGTCAGCCCTGGCCTCCAGGAAAGAGGTTTTGGGGTTCCTGCAGGCCCAGGGAAGTAGAGGGAGGTGAGGGCAGGTCCGGGCCTAGGGTGCTCCTGAGGACCTTAGAAGGAACTGGATTGGTCTGGATTCAAAGGATCAGGATCAGTGGTGGTTCCCCAGGTGTCTCGGGTTCCAAGACAAGGAATGGAACAGGACCCAGTCTAGGAGGAGAGACGGGCAGGGGAGATGGGACGGTGAATGAGGCTGGGGGAGTCAAGGCTCAGAGCGCTGGATCAACTTACCCCAGGAGAGAGGCCTGCAGGTCAGAGAGAGACCTGAGGGTCATGCAGGCCCAGGGAAGCAGAGGGAGGTGAGGGTTGGGCCAGGCCCAGAAGCAGTGCTCCTGGGGCCCAGAGAAGGCACTACATTGGTCTGGATGAAAAGGATCAGGAAGCAGTATTGGTTCCCCAGGTGTCTGGAGCCCCAAGACAAGGAATGGGGCAGGGCCCAAACTCAGGGGAGATGAGAGGGTGAATGAGGCTGGGGGAGTAAAGGTGTGGAGGGAGTGATAGGCTTACCCTGGGGAGAGGCCTGCGGGTAGGAGAGAGGCCTGCCGGTTGTGCAGGCCCAGGGAAGCAATAAGCCTGACGATCTTGAGTTCAATTACCAGAACCAACCAGTGTAAAAAGCTGGGTGCAGTGGTATGTATCTGTAATCCTAGCCGTTCCTGCAGTAAGGTGGAAAAAGGAGACAGGTCAGCTAGACTGGAGTCAGAATTGAGGGAGCAGAAACAAGAGAGACCCTGCCTCCAAACTAGATTGGAGACAAGCAGCTCACCAGAAAGTTGTCCACTAACTTCCACGCATATGCTGTGCCATATACATACCTGCTGATACTCTCTCTCCCTCCCTCTCCCTCTCGCTCTCGCTTTTGCTCTCGCTCTCATTAAAATTTTAAAAAGGAAAATAAAAGAAGTAGAACTTGTGTCTACATTAGAGAGTATTTTATAGTTAATTCTCAAATTTTGATCAATGCATAATGCAATATAATTTCAATAAAAAATTTTATTAAAGTATCTACAGGGTTGTTTGTCAGAATACTTTATAACTTTATTTTGTTTAATCTATATTTTATAGAATAATAAACTAAGATTTAAAAATGAGTTAGGCACACCTTTAATCCCAGCACTTGGGAGTCAGAGGCAGGTGGATTTCTGTGAGATTGAGGCCAACCTGGTCTACAGAGTGAGTTCCAGGCCAGCTGGGGCAACAGGGAGACCCTGTCTCAATCAAAACAAAACAAAACAACAAAAGGTCACCCTGCTCTGATGGAATATTCAGTGTTCATTCCACTGTAGTAGACTATAATTACTCATTATTGAATCTATTACATATTTTTTAAATTGTTACTAATAGAGAAAAGAGAAGGCAAGAAGAGAGTTCTCAAAAGAAGCTAGAGAAAGGAATGTTTGAAAGTGCTCATATTCATCTGGATGAAGAAAAAGTTGCAAAAGAAAGAAAAAGGAAACTGAAAAAGATATTAATCCAGACTTTCAAGGAAAATCATCAGGTGAGAATTATAATGCCTTTTTAGTCAACATTTTATAGTATGAGTGACAGGAAGCTCCATCAGAAAGGGAATAAAGTGTGTTGGGTATTAAAGCTCATGTGTTCTCATGAGGCTGAGGTGGGAGAGTCGTCACAAGTTCCAGGCCAGTCTGGGGTATATAGAGCAAATTCAAGTGTAACTGGGCCTACATAGTGTGATCCTGTCTCAAAGACAAAAAGAAAAACAACCACGGGGCAGAGGAGAACACTAAGCCCATGAGAGTCCGTCCTAGATACCCAGATCAGCATCACCATTTGTTCACTGCTACCCAGCTGACCTGTCCCACAGGGCAGTGCACTAGGCTTCCCTGTTCTGAGATGTTAGTGAGGTCCTGGGAAATTAAGAGCAATGCCTAGGATTTCTTCCTTAATTATCTCTCCAGAGTAGCATTTAACTACTGCCCTCTGGCAGTTTTGATTGTTGGCTTCTACTTTCACAGTCTTCAGGATGCTTATGTTTATATTTATTTAGAAGGCACAAGTTACTTACCTTTTGGTATGGTAAGTCCTAAAGCAGTGATAACTTAGTTCTGTGCTTCTCTTGCTAAGTGAGCTGCCCTGTATTTTATCCTTTCTTTTACTTTCTTTTTTTAAAGTAAGTAATGATTTTTCAAAATTTAAAAATGTTTTTTATTTTTATTCCTTGATCTTTTTTGAGACAGTCTCCCTGTAGCCTCAGCTGCCCTGATAATCACTATGTAGACCAGGCTGACCTCGATCTCACAGAGATCTCCCTGCCTCTGCATCCTGAGTGTTGGGATTAAAGGCTTGTGACACCCCACATAACTAATTTTTTATCTTTATATACATTTTATTTTATTTTATTTATTATTTTTATGTGTATGAGTGTATTGCCTGCATGTATGTAAGCACATCTGTGTCATGCAATGCCTTAGGGGTCAGAAGAGGGCTTCGGATTCTCCTGGAACTGGAGTTAAGGACAGTTGGTAGCTGCCGTGTGGGTGCTAGGAATCGAACTCCGGTCCTCTGCAAGAGAAGTCAGTGCTCTTAACCACTGAGCCATCTCTCCAGCCCCTTTTATGTGCATTTAAAAAAATATTTATGTACATGGTCTCTTACTAGGTAATGGTCAGATAATCCATTTAAGGAAGGTTTCTTAGTCTAGCTTAATAAATTCTATGTCCTTCATATCCGTAACTAAGTTTATATTGACAAATGAGTATGCTCCTACTTTAGCTACTTGTGAATTGCTCTAACCAAAATACTTGACAGAAGAAAACTAGAAGGAATGCTTCCTGTTGGATGATGGTTTCAAAGGGTCAGTTTATTGTTGCTTGACCCCAGGCAGTTGAGGAGTATGTGATAGAGGATAGCTATTCACATACTAGCAGACTGGAAACAGCCAGAGAGCTGACTGAGATATACCTCCCAACAACCCACCCCCAGTGACCTACTTCCTTTATGTAGGGTCCCCCTGCCAAAATTCCTAGAACCTCCCAAAGTAGCTTCACCAGTTTGGAATTAAACATTGAAAACATGAGCCTGTGGGGACACCAGATTCAAACCATATCATGGCCTCAGGTTACTTAAGCAGCTTTTTCAATGAAGGGAAACAGATAAAAATTTGGGGCTTATAACATTTCATGTAAAGTGAATGACTTGGCAGATTTATAAATGAGATGGTTAAATGAGAAAAGATAAATATGTATGTTTCCCGTCCCCCACAATACCTATACTAGGGCTGTAGGCATCGCTAAACTTCATGAAAATTAGTAGAATGAATGCATAAATGAGAGGACTTAACACGAGAAAAAGAAGGTTGGAAGCTGCTGAGGGAGCGCAGTCTGTACAGGAGTGGACTTACGAAGGCCCTGGAAAGCATGATGGGAATTTGAATATGATATAGATAAGTAAGATGGAAGGAAAAATGGAAAGTAGTCAATCTGATTTTTTTAAAAAGGTGGGCATATTTGGTGGTAGCATTTTGGACTCATAGACAAGAAATTATAATTACTCATAAACAAAAACTTGGTCAGAGTTTTAGTTTCATAAATAGAAGGAAATGGAGGAAATTTAAGAGTTAGGGTTAATATTTTGAGAGAGACTTGCAAGAACTCGTAGATTCTCTATCCTTCATGAGCTGGATTGAGTTAGTGTGCCCTACTATAATAATGGTGATGACTTCTAAGAGAAAATAAGAAAAGAAAGGAGTATTTGGGGACATCTTGAGAAGGCACAAGGAAAGCATGCCATATCTTCCAGCCAACCAGAGGTAAGTAAGACATGTGTTCCCTAAAAAAACGGTTTAAAATTATAATGAAGTCTGAGTGCAGTGATGCATGGCTTTAACCCCAGCACTTGGGAGGCAGAGGCAAGCAGATGGATCTCTGTGAGTTCAAAGTCAGCCTGGTCTACTTGCAAGTTCCAGGTCATGATTGCCTCCGAGATAAAAAAAAAAAAAAAAAAAAAAAAATTATAATGAAGTCCACTTTACAGTAAGAAATCAGATATGCTATAGAACTAATAAATGTTTTAGATGGGACTTCTAGATGTGAATGCTGAACACAACTTTAACAAAATTAATGACCCATCTAAATCAGATTACTTGAAAAGGGCATGTCAGTGTATTTAGAAGGGAAAAATGGCAGATTTGTTTCCTTTTGTTTTTTGTTTTGTTTTGTTTTGTTTTTTGTTGTTTCGTGTTTGTTTTTTAAGACAGGGTCTCACTATGCAGGCCTGGCTGGCCTTGAACTCACTGAGCTCCTCCTGCCTCTGCCCCCAAGCATTGAGATTAAAGGTGTTTCACTACCAAGCCAAGGGAAAACTGACAGATTTTGAATAAATTATTGTATTAGTCACTTTTCTGTTGCTGTGATAGAAACACTGACCCAAGCAGTTTATAGAAGGAAGAGTTTATTTGAACTTACAGTTCCAGGGGAATTACAGCCCATCATAGTGGGGAGGCATGGTGGCTGGAGGTGGCAGGAGCAGGAGCAGCAGAAGCTAGTCTCTCACATCACCATGCAGGCACAGGAAGCAAGAGAGGACTGGAGATCTGGCAAGGCTTAAGAGCTCTCTAAGCCCACCCCCAGTGACGTGCTTCCTCCAGGATAGCCACACCTTCTAAAACCTCCCAAAACAGCACCACCATGTGGGGACAAAATGTCCAAATACTTGGAGCCTACGGGGGACATTTTCATTCAAACCATCACAATTATCCTTGCTTTGCTGCCTGTACTTTATTATTTTGCCTGTACTTTATTATTTTTAAAGTTTTATTTTGAAATTGGTTTTGATATATAGAAAAGAAAAAAAATAGTACTTGAATCCCCTTCACCCAGCTTTTCTGTGTGTTAAGCTATTATATAAGCACAATATAATTAGATCTAGGAAATGAATGTTGGCATAATACCATTTTTAAACTATAGACCCTATTATAATATCCCCATTTTTTTCACTGATACCCTTTTTATATTCTAGGACTCAGTCCATGAAACCTATGCTGTCTTTTATTATGTGCTTTAGTTTCCTCCAATACCTGATACTTCCTTGTTCTTTCCTTGTATTTAAGACCCTGATATACATATATATGTATATCAGGGTCTTAAATATATATATCTTTATATATAGATATGGATATAGATTTGTTTAACTTAAAAAAATTTATTGAGAATTTCATACATTCATATAAGGTGTTTTGATCAAATCTATGCCCATTCCCTCCTTTCCAACTCCTTCCATATCTCCCCATCATGATATATTTTTAAGAGAGCTGGTTAGGTATTTTGGCAGGGTTCTCTCAATTTATGTTTTCTAATGTTGTCTATTCTCAGAATGAGAGTACATTTTTAGTAAGCAGTAATAGGGTCCCCTTTCCCACATCTATCAAGCTGTACATAATTGCTGACCACATAGTTAACTTTATGCCTGCTAGTTCCCCACTGTAAACTTACTATTTTCCCTTTCATAATTAATAAATTTCTTACAGGAGAAATTGTGAAGGTATGCAAATCTCCTGTTACTCCATAAACTGTCACTCATCAATTTTAGCGTCTAACGGTGGATCTTGCCTGCACTAGCTATTAATGTGGTATTTGCCTTGTGGTCATTCTGTGTTTTCCTCATTTCTCCTAGATTTACTCATTGAAATTCTTTTATGAGAAAGAGTTGTCCTTTCTTTCACATTTATTTGCTTGTGGTTTATGTAATTATTTATTCTGTTCAGTGTGGACTCATCAGTATGTGCTTTTCTCTGGCTTATGCTATTGCTCCTTATTTTGTTGCTCAGATTGTTCCAACTCTGTCCATTGGAAAAGCTTTCAGCCTGGCTGCTCTGTCCTCTCATTGTGCTTCTATTCTTTTTTCAGTACTTTCTTTATGGCATCACAAGATACTCCAGGCTCATCTTGTATTTTTTCTGCCTTAGTGTGTGACTTAAACACTTCTGCGTAGAACCATGGTTCCTTTTATAGGAGAATGATCTTTAGAAACCAAAGCTATTGTGCGTACTGCTCCTAGGGTGTTGTTTCTACATCCTCTTAGCAGAAAGTGTTAGAAAATATATCTATGTCTACTAACCCATCACGCACAGACTTCCTATTTATATCTGTGTATCTATATACATATTAAAATTCATGAGCTCCTACCAGCACCTTTAATTCCAGTGTAATAACACAGAGACAGGAGTCATTCTTTTCCTTTTCCTGATTTCTATCTTATCTTATTTCTGGACTTTCTGAATTTGTATTAAGTCGTTGTGAGTTCATAATTATTAGTCTCTCCCTCTTGAGCATCCACAACCTCTTTCCCTGACAGTAAGAAAGTGGGCTGTAGGTATTTACATTCTGTTTACTTGTTAGTCCAACCCTACTTGACGATAAAAGTAATTTAAGAATTGCTAACCTTCAGGTGTGATGGAGCACACCTATATTCTCAACAGATGGAAGATGAAGGTAGAGGTTCAAGGTCATTTTCTGATACATAATCAGTAGAAAAGAAAAC